GGGCGCCCACGCGAGCCGCGACTGCCAGCTCCAGCAGGACCCGGCCTGCCACAACCCGGCCGCCGCTGAACACGGGCTCGGCGCCCTCTGTCGCGCCGTCCAGCTGCACGGCGAATGCCTTCACTTTCTCAAACAACATCGTGGGTCCCGGCACGCCGACCTACGACGCGCGGACCCGGGCCTCGAACCCGCGACGCGGCAGCGCCAGCTGCGGGCGCTGCAGCCTCAGCGCAAGAACCCACCCCGCTCGCGCAGGCGCACTCGCCCGCCCGGCTAGAAACTCCCAGCGCGGCGCGCAGGCGCCGCTTTAACACGGCAGGGAGGGGGCAGGGCTTGCGCTTCTCCCCGCCCCCCGGAAGAAGCCTCCACCAATAGCGCGAGGAGGTGTGTGGCTCCGCCCAGGCGTGGAGCAACATCAACGCCCCCGCCCACCCCTGGCTGCCCCGTGCTCCAGCAGACAGCCAGGGGAGACTGAGGCCCTACGGCGCCTGCAGCCTGTCTCTCGTAGATCTCGGAAGTGAAGAGGGGAAACTGAGGCCCGGAGGCAGGACCCAGGCCTGAGGTCATCTAAAGCATTCTGCCCCTCGGCTGATTCATCCACTAGCTTCCACTTGCACACGTGACTTGAGGCACGTCAGTCCCGAGTTGGGGGGAGGCTCTGGCCCGAGTTCGAGCCCTGAGAGCCTAGGACGACCCCCGGGCTTGTTTCCCTCGCTGTGCAAAGGAGGAGGGAGGAGGAAGTGGGTGTGGCTTCCTCCACTCTGGCGTCTGCTGTCCCTCTGCTCTGATTCCAGCCCCGCTCAGCTGGATGACCCTGGGCAAGTGACCAGCTCTTGCAGCCTTGTTTGCATGTCTGTAGAGCCGGAAGAAAGTCACCCCCGACCTGAGAGGGTTGTGCATAGGTCACTATGCGGCCCCAGCTCGACCCCTCCGAGAGCCTCGCTCTCGGGTCATCAACCCGCCCTGATACTCCTGCACTCGACCTGCTTTTGCCGGAGCTGTTCCTGCCGCTGACGTTCCTGTCCCAACTTTCAGCCTCGGCAAACTCCTACTCTCCCCCTAGCCCATGTGCGCACTCCAGACATTTCCCTACAGACAGAGCCGAATGCAGAGGACGCTCGGCCACCCCCGGGTCCAAGGCTGAGGTGTGCCCTCGGGGCCTCAGGACCGCTCTCCGAGCCTCAGTTTCCCCAGAGGAAAGCCGCAAGAGTTTCTCTGGCGCTGTCTCCGTGCCATCTGCGGGACGCTGGCGCCCTCTGGTGGCAGCAGGAAGCGCTGCCGCTAGAACCCACTCTCCTACCTTGGCCCTCCCCTCGACGCCTGGACCCTCGAGGCCTAGGCACCGCCGATGGGGGCCAGTCATAAACAGACAAGGTCACCCACACCCCGTGACAGAGCAGGAACGAAGGGGCTGGAGAAGCAGTAATCAGCCTGGGTGGCTGTCTGGAGGAAGGGGATTTGGGGTTGAAATGAGGGGCTGGGACCTTCCCCCAGGTCCAAGTAGGGACTAGAGGAAGGACAGGAGGCCGTAAGCCGAGGAGGAGGCGCGGGATGAGGTGACCCTGAGGGGACGGGACGGGGAGGATCCCACTGAGCCAGCGCCTCCATCAACCCATTTCGCAGATGGGTCCCCAGAGGTACAGAGAAGGACAGGGCCTCGGCCGAAATCACGCAGTAACTTTGCGAGCTTGGCCCCTCCGGTGTTTTAAGGAAACCGTCCGTGAGTGTCTGGAGTGACTGTGGGGCGAAGACGGCCCCAATATATCTCTTGGGCGGTTGGGGAAGGGAAGTGCCTCAGGGCCCCTTCCTGCCCCGCCCCACCGCGCTACGGCGATCCGCTCGGCTTCTCCTTTCTGCTGTTGGTGAGGGGAGGGTCCCCGCGCCTGGGGTTGTTGGGACAGACCTGCGAGGCTGTGGGCACAGAGTCTATTGCGCGCTGAGCTGGAAAAAGGGGGCTACCGGGAGTCTGAGCTGCCACCCGCCTGGCCCATTCTGCAGACGGGTGTGGCGAGGTCTGGCTTAGCGGCGGCAATTGCCTGGGCGGCCCAGGGCTGTCGACGTTCCCCGCGGCCATACAGCCCAGCGCTGGGGCGCACACTCGCTGCTTCTGTGGCCCCTGGCCCGCTCCTGACGGGCGGTGTGGCCTGAGGTTGAGGGAGGGGGACTGAGGTTCAGAGCAGGTTAGGGCTGTGCTCAAGACCAAGACTCCCAGGCTGACCCCACCTTTCTCTTCCTCCTCTGGGACGCTTTCCCACCCCCATCACCCGCAAACACCACCAGACTCCCCCACCCCAAGGAAGAACCCATAGCTGCAGACCCTGTGGGGTAAATAGCCTGTCTCTCGTAGATCTCGGAAGTGAAGAGGGGAAACTGAGGCCCGGAGGCAGGACCCAGGCCTGAGGTCATCTAAAGCATTCTGCCCCTCGGCTGATTCATCCACTAGCTTCCACTTGCACACGTGACTTGAGGCACGTCAGTCCCGAGTTGGGGGGAGGCTCTGGCCCGAGTTCGAGCCCTGAGAGCCTAGGACGACCCCCGGGCTTGTTTCCCTCGCTGTGCAAAGGAGGAGGGAGGAGGAAGTGGGTGTGGCTTCCTCCACTCTGGCGTCTGCTGTCCCTCTGCTCTGATTCCAGCCCCGCTCAGCTGGATGACCCTGGGCAAGTGACCAGCTCTTGCAGCCTTGTTTGCATGTCTGTAGAGCCGGAAGAAAGTCACCCCCGACCTGAGAGGGTTGTGCATAGGTCACTATGCGGCCCCAGCTCGACCCCTCCGAGAGCCTCGCTCTCGGGTCATCAACCCGCCCTGATACTCCTGCACTCGACCTGCTTTTGCCGGAGCTGTTCCTGCCGCTGACGTTCCTGTCCCAACTTTCAGCCTCGGCAAACTCCTACTCTCCCCCTAGCCCATGTGCGCACTCCAGACATTTCCCTACAGACAGAGCCGAATGCAGAGGACGCTCGGCCACCCCCGGGTCCAAGGCTGAGGTGTGCCCTCGGGGCCTCAGGACCGCTCTCCGAGCCTCAGTTTCCCCAGAGGAAAGCCGCAAGAGTTTCTCTGGCGCTGTCTCCGTGCCATCTGCGGGACGCTGGCGCCCTCTGGTGGCAGCAGGAAGCGCTGCCGCTAGAACCCACTCTCCTACCTTGGCCCTCCCCTCGACGCCTGGACCCTCGAGGCCTAGGCACCGCCGATGGGGGCCAGTCATAAACAGACAAGGTCACCCACACCCCGTGACAGAGCAGGAACGAAGGGGCTGGAGAAGCAGTAATCAGCCTGGGTGGCTGTCTGGAGGAAGGGGATTTGGGGTTGAAATGAGGGGCTGGGACCTTCCCCCAGGTCCAAGTAGGGACTAGAGGAAGGACAGGAGGCCGTAAGCCGAGGAGGAGGCGCGGGATGAGGTGACCCTGAGGGGACGGGACGGGGAGGATCCCACTGAGCCAGCGCCTCCATCAACCCATTTCGCAGATGGGTCCCCAGAGGTACAGAGAAGGACAGGGCCTCGGCCGAAATCACGCAGTAACTTTGCGAGCTTGGCCCCTCCGGTGTTTTAAGGAAACCGTCCGTGAGTGTCTGGAGTGACTGTGGGGCGAAGACGGCCCCAATATATCTCTTGGGCGGTTGGGGAAGGGAAGTGCCTCAGGGCCCCTTCCTGCCCCGCCCCACCGCGCTACGGCGATCCGCTCGGCTTCTCCTTTCTGCTGTTGGTGAGGGGAGGGTCCCCGCGCCTGGGGTTGTTGGGACAGACCTGCGAGGCTGTGGGCACAGAGTCTATTGCGCGCTGAGCTGGAAAAAGGGGGCTACCGGGAGTCTGAGCTGCCACCCGCCTGGCCCATTCTGCAGACGGGTGTGGCGAGGTCTGGCTTAGCGGCGGCAATTGCCTGGGCGGCCCAGGGCTGTCGACGTTCCCCGCGGCCATACAGCCCAGCGCTGGGGCGCACACTCGCTGCTTCTGTGGCCCCTGGCCCGCTCCTGACGGGCGGTGTGGCCTGAGGTTGAGGGAGGGGGACTGAGGTTCAGAGCAGGTTAGGGCTGTGCTCAAGACCAAGACTCCCAGGCTGACCCCACCTTTCTCTTCCTCCTCTGGGACGCTTTCCCACCCCCATCACCCGCAAACACCACCAGACTCCCCCACCCCAAGGAAGAACCCATAGCTGCAGACCCTGTGGGGTAAATTGAGGAGGGGGACACTGGGTAGTACGTGAGATGGGGGCCTTCTTTGGGAATCATAGACGTAGCCCTGGGAGTAAAGGGGGACCCACAGGTGGGATCTCCCACTCCATCCCCAGTGGATCTCCAGACCCCGGATGGGGGGCGTCCCATGCTTTGAAGAGGGTCTCCCCACCGCATAGCCGAGGGCGTCCCTGCCCTGGAGCTGGGGTGGGGGGCTCAGATCGTAGACAGGGGTTCCCGACAGTGGGGGTCCCGGCCCGGGTTAGGTGAGTGTCCGGGTAGGAGGGTCCAGATCCTAAGGAGGGGTCCCTACTCCTTGAGAAGGGTCACCCGACAGCAGAGTCTCTAAGTCAGGCTCCTGGCCCTGGAGAGGGGCGCTCCGACCTGGAGAGAGGGTCCTGGTCAAGGGGACCTGGCCGGGATGGGGGCAGGGGCAGCGGATGTCTCACCTCGGAGCAGCAGCTGCCGCCGCCGCAGGTACGTCTCGGTAGCCGCGTAGTCGCTGGACAGAGCGTGGACGCCCACGCTGCGGC